ACTGTCTTACCTTCATCCTGCACTTCCTGGAAGAGACATTTCAATAATGCACCACTCTACACATTATGACCAGTCTTACTCCTCTCATCCTGCAGGACATTTTTCATCTTATTTCTAGTCCACATTCAGCTTCTGGACATCATCATGTTTGCACACTCTGACGTTCTTCTGTACAAACTGCTCCCTCTTCCTAAAAGCCCATCCCCATCTCTCCATCCTTTTGTTAAGACATATAATATTAAAAACCCAGTTCTAAAGCAACCTTGCGGACCCTCCTATGTCTTCTATCCAGTTTCTTCCTTACCATGCTTCTAGCATCCTTTGTGTCTGAAATCTCTGGATTAGAATTTCCCTCTGTGAGCAGGCCCTTGACGCAGGAAAAGCATACTTCCAAGAACCTGATAGCTGATGCATAATTTGGGCATATTCTAAAACTCAGATAATCAGAGATAGTATTCCTTTCACAGTGTGTCCTGATTGAAGTATCTTTCCCATTTCCTGTAAGCTTGCTCTATGATAGTTGGAGACAATAAAGATAATCCAAAAAGAAATGGACTGAGCAATGGAGAAATCCCTGATCTTCTTTAAGACCACAGACCAACTATTCTTTGAAGTCACTCCCATCCAGTACCTTCTTTCATCGCTGCTCTTATTCTGCTAAGGAAAATATGAGCAGTTTCTCTCTCTCTCTCGTAATTAGAAAAAAAATATTGACAAACATAATACTTTATGCCAATCATTTATATTTCTCTCCACTGGATGGTAGACTGGTGACAATATCGTATTTCTATATCTACGATAACATTTCACAAGAAACTGCCATCTTCCCCACCTAATAAATAACTGTCAAGTTAAAGAACACAGACTAATTCCATTTCTTGAGGAGATAGACGTATAGTGAAAAACTATGTCCATTATAATGAATTCACAGGGCTATATTTTTGACATAACACAAGGTTCATTTCTGTTGCTCTGCAATCCCTCTTCTTTAACTCTATCACTCTGTATAGGACTTCCTGCATGTGTATGCACATTTGTTTACACACATACATGGTTCTTCATAACATTCCCTTTTCCTGTTATACTTCCTACCCCTTGATCCCTCAGGCAAATCTTCCTTCAAGCTCTGTTCAAATATCATAAATCTTTGACAAACATTTCAGGATACAACTCCCTTTAGACAACACTAGGCACTCCTTTATCTAACCTGTCAATGCATTTTGTACTTTTGTTTATCTCATTCTATAAGAATTATTTATATTCATATCTAACCCTTCCCTTCCTAGAGTTTCAGTTCTTAAAGGGATGAATATTTTATCATGATCTACATCCATAGCTTCTAAAATAATGATGGGCCCACAGTAAATAATCAATGAGCATTTGAAGAGGAATCATTTTATAAAGAGTTTTTGCCCAAGTAATCTTCTTTGAACTGCAGAGAAAAAACTGAAGACAAGATAAATTATTCCATAAGTTCTAGAGATGAAAAATATGTTTGAAATAATATGTATATCGTGAATGAAGGGAAGAGTTTTGTTTGTTTAATGTGTATTTGAAATGTCTAGTATAGTTCATGACATAAGGGGGAGAGAGAGAGGAATATGAGATCATCCCCCAGTTTCTCTCAGTAGCAAACTCTTCATATAAACTCAGATTTATTAAACCCAGATTCTTGGTCAAGCGTCACTTTCATTGCAGCTATTTCACTTGCCAAATTCAACATTTAAAAGCAGAGGCATAACCCATGGTCTCTGCACACACCTTTCAAGTGAACGTTAATCACAAGCCAGCAGTGATGTTAGGTACTTATTGACTTACAATCACCATAATATTTCTATGAAATATGTCTTAGAACCTCATTACACACAGAAGATGGTCAAAGTTTAGAAATCAAAGACAACATAATACATCGTGCTTCACTCTGTCTTTAACCAAATGAAATTAACATTAATTTAAATGTTTATAATTACATAGAAAGTCTCAAAATCAGTGTTTACTAAAAAATACCAAAACAAATATACATAAAAGGTCAAAAAAGGTGTTTGCTCATTTGAAGAAAGCTTTTGTGAGTATGTTGCAAAATGATTACTTTCTTTACAGGTTTTGTCAATTCCTGTCAATACTTGACCTAATGGAGTTTAAATAGCCGATAAAGACCAATTACTTGGAAATGAAGAGCAAACCAGAGGAACAAAGCAAGTTGTCCAGTTAAGCTGACCATAATGGAGAGAAACATTGAGTAATCAAGGCATAGACTGTTACGGTCACCCCAGGTCAAGAGGGATTTTGTACAAATTGTCACAAGGCCCATTTGAACTCATGGAGACATCAGGGGGAAAATCAGCACTTGCCACTTTAGTTGTATATTCATCACTTCCTAGAGCTAAAACATCCCTTCAACATGTTGGTTCTCAGTGGATTGTTTTCTTCCTCTGCATGTTAGGACAAGGGAGAGAGGTTTTAGAGACATGAGCCCCTGAGAGAAGACCACATGTCCCTCTGCATCCTTATCATTTAGAAGCAAGAGTGGCATCAAGTATGTCCATGTGATGTGTGGAGTGGCTCAGTGTTTTGCCATAGCTGTATTGAAATTGTGACTAACTTTATCAATGAACTTATGCTTTGTGTGTGCAGTCTCAAGGGGTGATAGAGTGTGCATGCAAACAAGGAGTTCCATGCCCCTTGACCATGGAATTCTAGCGGCCACAGGTACAAGAACTTTATCAAGGTTCAGAGCAAGTTAAAGGCATGTGAGACTCAGAGTTACAGACAACAGTGGTGCTCCATGAATATCCAATAACCAGACGTGCATGTCCTTTTGCCTCAGGTTGCTTCCCTCTATTCACCAACCACTGGAGCTGGGATGATTTAGAATGAAATGGAAATCTAGGATTCCTGTTATTTCCTTCTTCTTCATTTAGCTACAGGTGCAGGATTGACAGAATGTAAGCGTAGCACATCAAATAAAAACAGTTGAAGGTTTTTTGTGCCATGTTTAAATTTTCATGATGAAAACCAAATTCATCTGAATCTACAAGCAATGAACTATGTTGGGTAATCTAAATGATTCGTCAGGTGAGCTAAGTGTTGTTACATTTGTACATACAAATGAGTTTTCCTTACATAAAATCAAACTATAATTCATACAAGTAATTTACAATTTTATTTCTTTCTTCCTTAAAGTGAGATTAGGTAGCAAGACAAAATTCTAAGTCAGGTTCAAAAAGAGACCATTGGAGGAATGAACAAAGCATTGTAACCTGATATATTTAACATTGTTTTCCTGATTTCTAAACAAGGTATCCTACATGGTCATGTTTTACTACAATCTGGTTACGTAGCCAGCTCCATATAAAAGTTGAAGAGACTTCTGAATGCTGCTAAAAGCCCAACTGAAAGATAAGTAAGTGAAAATGTCATTCTATTTTTTTTTCTTTTTTTAAGATTTTAGTTATGTATTTGACAGGTAGAGAGTTACAGATAGTGAGAGAGAGAGAGAGAGAGAGAGAGACAGAGAGAACGGTCTTCCTTCCATTGGTTCACTCCCCAAATGGCCGCAATAACCGGCGCTGCTCTGATCCAAAGACAGGAGCCAGATGCCTCCTCCGGGTCTCCCATGTGGGTGCAGGGGCCCAAGTACTTAGGCCATCCTCCACTGCCTTCCCAGGCCATAGCAGAGAGCTGGACAGGAAGAGGAGCAACCAGGACTAGAGCCGGCACCCATATGGGATGCCAGCACCGCAGGTGTGCTAAGTGTGCTAAGGCGCTGGCCCTGAAAGTGTCATTCTAATTCAGTATGATGAATTCAGCCATACCACTCTCAGAGAAAATGACATACACACAAACTTTAACTGGTGATCATTATTTCTTGAAGCATATGTTCCTCTGAGACCAAAAGCCTGAGAATAATTTTAGGTTTTATTGAAACAAAATTATGAGGAAGTAGGTGAACACTGCTACAAAAAATGCCTCATAAGAGTGAATCCATTTTATCTCTTTTATTGCTCAAAGCATGATGATAAAAAAAAAGAACACCCCCCCCCAGCACACACACATACATACACGTCTCAGAAAAATAAAGAAAAGTTTGTCTCTAGCTAATCCTATCTACCTATATATCATCTACATATTAGTAGGAACCAAAGTAACAATGAATTTTTATTCTTAGACATACGATTTTATATTATTAATTAAGTTATTCTCCTTGGCTTTGTGTACTTCTCAGTTTGTGTTGCTGCTGTAAAGAATCATCAGAAATTACTATGAACAGCTGTACGCCAACAAATTGGAAATTGTGGAAGAAATGGATAAAATCTTGAACACAATCATTCGTAATTGAGTTATTAGGATATAGAAAATCTAAATAGATCAGTAACTAAGGCAAAGATTGGATCAGTAATAAAGATCCTCCCAACCACTAAAAGTCCAGGATCAAATGGTTTTACAGCTGAAGTCTATCAAACTTTTAAAGAAGAAGTAATCCTAATTTTTCTCAAAATTGTCCTCCCAAATTCCTGCTGTGAGGCCAGTCTCATCTTAATTCCCAAAGCAGAAAAAGATACAGCAAAGAGAGAGAACTATAGACCAATATCTATATGAAATATGGATCAATATTTTGAATACAATTGCAAAAATTCTCAACAAAAATACTATGTTATCAAATCTGACAACACATCAGAAAGATCATTCATCCAGAACAAGTTGGATTTATCCCTGGTATGTAAGGATAGTTCAACAAATTCAGATCAATGTGATGCATCACATTAACAAACCAAAGGATAAAAAACAGGATAATCCCAATAGATGCAGAGGATGCATCTGATGAACTACAACATCTTTTCAAGATAAAAATATTAAGAAAATTGAGTGTGGAAAGAACATTCCTCAGCACAATCAAAGAATTTTGTGACAAACCCACAGCCAGCATCTTTTTAAAATTTTTTTTAATTTATTTTCCCCCTAAAGAAACCTTTTATTTAAGGAATAAAGATGTCATGGGCTTGCTTCAGCAGCACATAGACTAAAATGGGAATGATACAGGGAAGATTCGCATGGCCACTGCACAAGGATGACACACAAATTTGTGAAGCATTCCATATTTTTTGTCAAAAACAAGACTTTATATATTTCATAAGTACAACTTCAGGAATATAGTGATTCTTCCCACCATATCTACCCTCCCACCCACTTTACCAATGCTCCTATTCCTCCCTCTCCCATTTCCAGTCCCATTTTCCACTAAGATTGATTTTTGATTAACTTTATACACAGAAGAGCAACTATATACTAAGTAAAGAGTTCAACAATTTGCATGGTAAAAAAATTAAAAAAACAAAAAACAAAATCAAAACAAACAAAAAAAAAATGTTCTTCTTTCCACTGGCGTCTCACACCGAGGTCCTTCATGTAGGACATTTTTTTTTTTTTTTGCCTCAACATCTTGGTGTTCCATGCCTGAAATGCTCTCATGGCCAATTCAGTCAGACCTGAATGCCTTAACAGATGATTCTGAGGTCAGAGTGATATTTAAAGTGAATGTCATTCTATGAGTCTGCTGTATGGACTGCTTCCCATGTTGGAACATTCACTCCTTTTAAATTCTATCTATTATTACTTCTAGACCCTTAATCCTATCCATATGATCACCTTAACACTTTAGATGGTACTTTTATCACCCAGCTTAAGGGGATTTGAAATCCCATGGCAACTTTTAAAACTGTACCCTTATAAATGAGTCTTTAGGAATGTATGCAGAACTATACAACTTTACAGTTACAAACTTCATACACTTCATAATTACAGCGTTAGGAACAGGGTGATTCTTCTCACCATGCCACCCTCCCACCCATACTCCAACACCCATTTCTCCTACCTTTCTTATTCTCTCTCTTATTTTTTATAGAGATCTATTTTCAATTAACTTCATACACATATGTTTAATTCTATATTAATTAAACCATTCAACAAATAGTATATATAAAAAACTGTTCTCAACAGTCAAGACAAAGTCTGTTCAAGTCATTGCTTCTCAAGGCATCAATTTGACTTCTACAGATTGCCTTTTAGGTGCTCTATTAGTTATTACAGGTCAGGAAGAAAATATGATATTTGTAACTTTGGGACTGGCTTATTTCCCTAAGTATTATGTTTTCCATTTCATTGTGAATGACTGGATTTCATTTTTTTTACTGCCATGTCGTATTCTATAGTGTATAAATCCCATAATTTCTTTATCCAATATTCATTTGATGGGCATTTTGGTTGATTCCATGTCTTAGCTATTGTGAAAAACATGGGGATGCAGATAACTCTTTCATATGTTAATAATTTCCCCTGGGTAAATTAACATGAGTGGAATGGCTGGGTCATATGGTAGGTCAATGTTCAGATTTCTGAGGTATCTCCATACTGTCTTCCATAGTAGTTTTACCAGTTTACATTCCCACCAACACTGGATTAGGATACCTTTTTCCCCATGTCCTCTTAAATGAGTTCCAGTAGCCTCTTGGTAGAGTCTTTTGTATCCACTATATGTATAGAATATTATCCTCTGCAATTAGCAATTGTTTGATTTCCTCATTACCAATTAGTAGCCCTTTGATTTATTTTTCTTGCCTAATGGCTCTGGCTAAAACTTCCAGGACTATGTTGAATAAAAATGGTGAGAGTGGGCATCCTTGTTTGGTTCTGGATCTCAGTGGGAATGCTTCCAACTTTTCCCCATTCAACAGGACAGTGGCCGCAGGTTTGTCGTAAATTGCCTTGGTTGTGTTGAGGAATGTTCCTTCTATGGCCATTTTGCTTAGAGTTTTCATCAAGAAAGTGTGCTGTATTTTACCAAATGCCTTCTCTGCATCTATTGAGATAATCATATGTTTTTGTTCTTCAGTTTCTTAATGTGATGCATCTTGTTGATGGATTTGTGAATGTTGAACAATCCCTGCATACCAGGAATAAGTCCACTTGGTCTGCGTGAATAATCTTTCTCATGTTTTGTAGGATTTGATTGAGCAGACTTATGCTTAGGTTTTTTACGTCTATGTTTATTTGGGAAATTGGTCTGTAGTTCTCTTTCTTAGTTGCATCTTTCTCAGGTTTAGGAATTAAGGTAATGCTGGTTTCACAGAATGAATTTGGGAGGATTCCCTCCATTTCAATTGTTTTGAATAGCTTGAGAAGAGTTGGAGTTAGTTCTCCTTCAATGTCTGATAGAATTCTGCAGTGAAGCCTCTGGTCCCAGAAATTTTTGTTGTTGTTGTGGGTAGGGTCTTTATTACTGATTCAATTTCCATCTTGGTTATGGGTCTGTTTAGCTTTTCTGTCTTCATGGCTCAATTCAGGTGGGTTGTATGTGTCCAGGAATCTAGCCATTTCTTCTAGATTTCCCAGTTTGTTGGCATACAGCGCTTTGTAGTAATTTCTGATGATTTGTTTTATTTCTGTGGTGTCTGTTATGTGTCCTTTTTCATCTCTGATTTTATTGATTTGGGTCTTCTCTCTCCTTTTTTTTTTGGTTAGTTTGGCCAATAGTGTGCTGATTTTGTTTATTTTTCAAAAAACGTGCTCTTCATTTAGCTGATCTTTTGTATTGTTTTTTGTTTAAATTTTGTTTATTTCTTCTCTAATTTTAGTAATTTCTTTTCTCCTACTAGTTTCTGGTTTTGTTTGCTGTTGCTTTTCTAGATCCTTCAGATGCACTGACATCCCATTTATTTACTGCCTTTCCATTCTCTTGATGTAGGCACCAATTGCTTTAAACTATCCTCTTAACATCGCTTTTGTTGTATCCCATAAGTTTTGATATGTTGTATTGTTGCTTTCATTTGTTTCAGGAAACCTTTTCATTTCTCTTTTGATTTCTTCAATGACACAATGTTCATTCAGGAGCACATTGTTCAGTTTACATACGTTTGCATATGTTATAGAGATTCATGAGTTGCTGATTTCCAGCTTCATTCCATTATGGTCTGAGAATATGCATAGTATGATTTTGATTTTTTTTTTTAATTTGCTGAGACTTCTTTTATGGCCGAGCATGTGGTCAATCCTAGAGAAAGTTCCATGCACTGCTGAGAAAAATATGTATTCTGCAACTGCAGTATGGAAAGTTCTGTAGATATCTTTAAGGTCCATTTCATCTGTAGTGTCAATTAACTGCTGTTTCCTTGCTGATTTTCTGTCTGGTTGATCTGTCCATTGCTGAAAGTGGGGTGTTGAAATCCCCCATTACTGTTGTATTTGAGTGTATCCTTTAGATTACTTTAGATCCTTTTAAATAGCTAAGTGCCCTGTAATTAGATGTATATACATTTATAATAGTTACATCTTCCTGTTTAATTGATCTCTTAATCATTACATAGTGACCTTCTTTGTCTCTTTTAGCAGTTTTTGTGCTAAAGTCTATTTTATCTAATATTAGGATGGCTACCCCAGATCTCTTTTGGTTTCTGTTGACATGGAATATCTTTTTATCCTTTCACTTTCAGACTCAGTGCATCCTTGTTGCTGAGTTGTGTTTCTTGTAGGCAGGAATTAGATGGGTTTTGTTTTTAATCCATTTAGCCAATCTGTGTCTTTTAACTGAAGAGTTGAGGCCATTTACATTCAAAGTGACTATTGATAAGTAATGACTTTGCCCTGCAATTTTTCCATAAATATTCATATTTTTTTTTACTTTGAATTTCCTTTGTACTTTTACTGGGTGATATTCTTCCTTTACCATCTTTTGTTGTGATGACCATGTTTCAGTGTTTCTGTGTGCAGCACATCCTTAAGCATCTTTTGCAATACTGGATGGGTGGTGACAAATTCTTTCAATTTCTTTTTTTATTTAAGGTCTTTATTTTACTTTCAGTCATAAATCACATCTTTGCCAGGTACTGTATTCTGTGTTGACAATTTTTTCTCTTAATATTTATAATATATCTAGCCATTCTCTCCTATCCTGAAAGTTTTCTGATGAGAGGTCTGCTATGAGTCTAATTGAAGATCTTCTGAAAATAATATGGCATTTCTCTTGTACATATTTTATAATATTTTCTTTATGTTTTAATGTGGAGAGTTTGATTACAATGTATAGTGGTGAAGATATTTTCTGGTCATGTCCATTAGGAGTTCTATGTGCTTCTTGTACTTGGATGCCCCTTTCTCTCTCTAAATTGCAGAAATTTTTTTGTTACTATTGCAATAAAATGGCCCTCTAATCCTTTCTCTCTTTCCATGTCTTAGGAACATCCTAGAATCCATACGTTGGGTCATTTGATAGTATCCTGTAGATTCCCAAAGTAGTTTCTTAGTCTTCTTTTTTTATTTATTTATTTATTTATTTTTTTGACAGGCAGAGTGGACAGAGAGAGAGACAGAGTTCCTTTGCCGTTGGTTCACCCTCCAATGGCCACCATGGCCAGCGCACAGCGCTGATCCGATGGCAGGAGCCAGGTGATTCTCCTGGTCTCCCATGGGGTTCAGGGCCCAAGCACCTGGGCCATCCTCCACTGCACTCCCGGGCTACAGCAGAGAGCTGGCCTGGAAGAGGGGCAACCAGGACAGAATCCGGCACCCCGACCGGGACTAGAACCTGGTGTGCCGGTGCCGCAAGGCAGAGGATTAGCCTAGTGAGCCGTGGCGCTGGCCTAGTTTTTTAGTTTTCTAATTTTATCTTCTTGTGTTTTTGTCTGATTGTATAATTTCCTGTGATTTGTCTTCTAAGTCAGATATTCTTTCTTTTGCTTCACTAATTCTGTTGTTATGGCTTTCCATTGCATTTGTTATTTATCCTATTGAATTCTTTGTTTCCAAGTTTTCGTTTTGCTTTCTAAGATTTCGATTTCATGGGAGAAATTTTCTTTCATGTCTGGTGCAGATTTCATTAGTTCATGCATTTGTTTCTGATTACTTCTATGTAATCTTTTTTATAATGATTTTATTTATTTATTTGAGAGGTAGAGAGGTAGAGACATAGAGAACGGTCTTCAATCTACTGGTTCATTCCCCAGTTGCCCCAATTGCTGGAGCTGTGTTGATCCAAAGCCAGGAGCCAGGAGCTTCTTCCAGGTATCCCACACGAGTGCAGGAAACCAAGTATTGAGCCATCTTCTATTGCT